ACATGGAAGTAACAAAGAGCTTTGCCATGAGCCATAAGGTTAGTGCCTCAAAGATAACCCTACTACGAGGCCGCAGCCCTACAAGGGCGGGTGCAGAAACACCTCTTTGATCTAAATACGAACCCTACAACTAGCGAACAAGAATGATGACAAAAAGAATGACCTAACGACCATCGTGTATCACATGCGTCATGATGCTTGCAATGTTGCTATCGCAGGATCGCATGAAAGACTAGACGGCAGTCGCAAAATATGACCGCAGCCCAAAATATGACCTTAGCCAATGAACATTCCAAATGGTAGAAATACTTAAAATTATGTGGCATCTAAAGTTTACCTTATCGCACGCGTTGTTCCTGCACGGTGCTCCAATTCGTAATTCATTACTGGTTGGATTGTTTCCTTGTTGTTCGCGATAGCGTTGCAAAGCCGCTTGGGCGCCAGGAGTAACATCCATCTGTAATCAAACCTATTGTTATTGGAAATCATCTTATTAGAAATTATCTTTCTTTCAAATAAGAACTTTTCTACCCAAATCCCATGTTTCCAGATCATGTATACCGTTCGAAAAGCATAATCTTCCTCGCATAAATTTATGTTTTGTTGCTGATTTTGATTCATGTTTTTCTGCCTTCGTTATGAATAGCTTCAAATTCATCCTCGCAAAATAAGCGGCCCGAATAGTGCGCTCGACAAAAACTAGCGAAAGCGGCGACTGAGTAATTCAAAGTTAAAGTTCCACTGAAATTGATCGCTGAGCGGTGCAGCAGGTGCACAATGACGACTTCTCTTGAACAGTTCACACCTGGGCTGTCCAGAAAGCTTGCCCTGTTCTTTTCCTTTCTTTGTTGTTGATTGATCGCTAAACCATAGGGGGCTTCACAGTCGATCGTCCGATCATAACAATCGCATACCATTAGAGAGGAATCGATCCCCCGATCTGATCGGACGGGTCGGATTATAGACACGTATCTAATGGATTCGCTAGCGAATCGCTGGATCCGAGCGTTGCACCAGCGAATCGAACTTTGCGCCAGCGAGTCGAACGATGTACCAGCGACTCAATAGTGGCGGGACCCAACGTTCAAAGGAAGCCCCGCCACTTTCAAACAGTGTCCACTGTCACGTGACACTGTTTGAAAGTGGCGGGCTTCCTTTGAACGTTGGGTCCCGCAACTCAGCTGTAACCTTTAATCCTCGCTGGCGCTAAGTTACGAGTTCGCTGGTGCAACGCTCGCATAGCAGTCGACCAATTCGCATCGATTCGCAAACTATGAACATCGGCGTTACGGTCAGATGAGCAACCATGAAAGTTTTCATGGCCCTTTGTGAGAGAAAAAAAAAACTTCTTTCCACTAAAACGGCTGTTGTTACATGATTTATCATTCGGAGCTTTTCTGCTCTACTCGACCATATGTTTTGCTTCGACTTTTGTTGAGAATCAGGTCGAATTTAACACCTACGTCCAAGGTGCCCAGTCCACGAGGATGACCCATCCTCATAAAGGTACCTAAAAAGATGATAAGATCGATCAGGCATTCATTCCAAACTTAATCATTTCTTAAAAATGTTCCCACATTCCACACACCTCAGAGGTTGAAACCTTGAGATTCAGATTCGACGTTATGGCAACCAATCGAGTTTTGGCAAAAAGACCCGAAATTGGAAATGAATTACAAGACTTGTTTTTGAATGGGAGAGTTTGAAATATTTGCCGTTTATTGAGACTTTTGGTCGCCTAGACCTCACATATCGCGAGTCTGAATTCCAACATGCTTAAAAATTGTAAAACTAAAGAGGAAATTTAATGGAGCACATAATTTTCTTTCGAATGGTTTACGGAACGATGTAAAAAATATGGAAGATTAGCAGAAAAATCCCAATGAAAAACGAAATAACATAAGATAAACAAATAAATGCAAACAGACCACTTCATTGCTTGAATAAGATGCCAAGGATACTGACCTTCAGAGCTACTTCCTTCCTTTCTTCTTCCGCCTTACGTTCAGCTGGTTTGTTCAATCCTTTCCACACGATGACATCTTCTTCCTCAAAAGATAGGCTCACATGGATTCCAAGTAGTCATGTCCATATAATAGATGGATAAACCTGTATGCCCTCGAACGATGATCTCAAATCTACCTTCCAAATTTGTTAAACGATTTTATAAAGGGAGTTAAGAAGCAAAAGAAAGCAGTAGTCGACGTAGGATCGACCCCTTAGCATGTCTGCTGTTCTGATTGTTTTGGACCAGCTAAAACGGTTTTTACAGCCTATTTATCTGTATCCGAAAACGGAAAGTACTAAGCGGTAAGGAGTCGAGCTTATGGCGTCCTGAGTGTGAGACTCGACCGCTCCATTACGCTCTTTCGCTTCCTGATCCTGCTCAGAGAATCTTTTCATGGTTTTGGAAGACAGTATGAGATCAGCATTAAGCAAATCTAGGCGTATACATCTTTTTTTTAAATGGCCGTTTTAACTTAGGATCCTTTCCTTGTTAGCATGCTAAATATCTTAAAAAGAACAGCATTAGTTACACATACGACCACTTGAGAATGCTTCCCATCATATGGGAACAGCCCATTGTGAGGTTGTTATCGTGTGACCCTTCTCCTACTTTTTTGGCACTAAATTTATAAGACATGAGACTTAACACGTTGACGACAACCCGTTCTGCGTGCCTCGATAACTTTTTGTTTATTATT